GTCGGGTGGATCTCTGGGAGGTCAAGACCAGCCATGGCTACATGGTGACAGTCTGTCTCAATAAAAGGAGAGAAGTGAGTGACAGAGAAGGATGTCAGGACTGAGACGTCCTCTACGACACATAAGACAGGGAATATGGATGCTTTGTCTCATTGGCTTCTCTTGCTGTCTGTGTAGCATCATAAATAGCATCATGAGCCCCCAGGGTGCTTGTGCGGCTGCAGCTAGTGAAGGTTACATTTTGTTGTTGTTGTTGCTGCTTTGGGGAGGATGCCAGGGCTAACAAAACTGCTGAGTCTCTTGGGACAGAGCTCTCTGCCATCCCTGTGGTGCTCACAGCAGCTGTTCACGTGGCTCTTAAAAGGAAGGGTCATTAACTCACCACGCCCGTGTCTCAGAGTGCTGGGATCTGTTGAGTCCTTAATCTCTTCTTTGCCCTCTGCTAAGTGCTGTACGTGTGTTTCTTCTTTGAATTCTCACTATGACACCTTTGGGGACAGAGTGGTCTTGTCCTTCCATTTCTACAGAAAAAACTGAGGGTTAAGGCAGGGAAGAAAAGAAACTTGAAGAAGTTTTTACAGAAAGAAAGAGGTAGGGCTGAGCCTTGAACTCACATCTAGGCATTGCTGTTCCTCACTGTGGTCTTAGCCCAACTCAGCATCCAGACACTGCAAGTCTTGTTTAGGTCCGAGCCACAGACATCCCTTCTGAAGAACACTGCTCACTTCCTCAGAGGGAACTCATGCCAAAGGACTTTTATGAAAAAAATAAGGACGCAGAAGTAGAAAACTACAAAAGAAAGAGATGACAGCAAGTACCATGGACTGCCAGTTAGGTTAGTGGGGTTTATCACACAGTTCTTCTCACTCTTCCAGCTCTTTGGTGACAACCATCTCCGTGGTGTGGGACCAAACATCCACTTTCCACGTGTTGCCATGATAAGCTTTGCTGTATATTACTTACATGGTGATTAATATTAAAGAATTAGACTTTATTTTGAATTCATGTACACATAAGAAATGCAAGAACTATGAAGGAGGAAGGTGACACAGCAGAGTTCAACCCACAAGTTCTTGTAGTCATATCAAAATAGTTTGCATTCTGCAGAAAGCAAGCTTCTTTAAAAACTACTTCTCTTCCCTCCATCCCTCCTCTCTCTCTCTCTCTCTCTCTCTCTCTCTCTCTCTCTCTCTCTCCCTCTCCCTCTCTCTCTCTCTGTATCTCCCTCTCTTTCTCTTGTTCTTTTTTCTTTCTTTCCTGGGTGTACATGTGAGTGCCTGCATTCTGTCTCATTTGTGCTCTCCACTCACAGGCCTCAAGCAATCACTTGTCTGCACCTGCCTCTATGCTGGCCTACACATAGGTCTTATTCTCACATATCCAACTATAATTGCCTATTGTTGAGCCAATGTCTCCACACCCCTCTATCTGCTAGTCTACCAAGATTCATTCCCTTATTTTTTTTTAATTAAAAAGATCAACTAAAATTTTTTATGTTTGTATGTGAATATGGTGTGTGCCTGTTGTGGAATAATCTTTTTATATCCTGTGAAGATGTATCTTTGCCAAGGTGCCTTCTGATTGGTTTAATAAAAAGAGCTGACTGGTAGCTAGGCAGGAAGTATAGGCAGGACAGGCAGACACAAAGGATGCTGGGAAGGAGAAGGGCAAAGTCTTGGGAGTCAGGAGCAGATGCAGAGAGAAGCAAGATGAATGTCTGTGCTGAAAGGAAGTACCACTACATGGGAAAGAGTAAATAAGGAATAAGGATTAACTTAAAATGTAAGAGTTAGTTAGTAGTAAGCCTGAGCTACTGGTCAAGTATTTATAATTAATATTAAGTCTCTATGCATTTATTGGGGAGCAGGGAGTTCCAACAAAATCTCCACTATATGCACCTGTGTGTATACATGGAAACCAGAGGAGGATGTCAGGTTCTGCAGTCACTCTCCACTCTATTCCCTCGAGACGGGCTCTCTCACTGAACTAAGAGCTAGGCTGGCAGCCAGAAAGCCCCAGAAATCCTCCAACTCTCCTGTCTCCAATCCTGCTGTCTCACAGCACTAGAGTCACCATTGTATGTGTGACCACGCCCGGCTTTTAACATGGGTGTGGGGATTTGAACTCAAGTCCTCATGCTTGCACAACAAGCACCCGCATCCTCCGCAATCTTTCTAGCCCTCTCTCTATTTCTAACTAGAACCCCAAATCCCTGCTTGGTGAAAGGGGCCTAAGAGACATGCCCCTACCTCTGGCTTTCTTCTTGTTACTGCTTCTCCAGCCACACCACCATTTTTGGCCACTCCTCAGGAACATAAAGCATGGCTTCATCATAGAGCTCTGCACCAACCAGACCTGTCTCCTCTACTACCAGGTCGTCAGTGGTTCCCCATGTAAGTACTGCTCAGCTGCCATGTCTTCTGGCTTTCTCTGACTCCATCCTATATGACCATTGCTTTCCTGCCCCTCTCTATTCAAAGAACATGTGCCATTCAAACTCAATGTTGATTTTTGTCCTTCTCCTCTGCCAAACTATGTATCCCATAAGGACAATGACATTATTTACAGTGTATCCCTAGTCCCCAAACTGGGTCTTGAATACAATAGGTATGCAAAACCTCTGGGTGAGAGGCCAGCAAGGCTGCATGGCAAGGAGCGGCACTTGCTGTCAAGCCTGCTGACTCCAGTTGATCCCTGGGACCTGCTTGGTGGGAAGAGAGATCTGACTCCTGCAAAGTTTCCTCTCTCCTCCACATGCCTGCTCTGGGATGCATGCCTCGCCCAGGATAAACGAAGAGCCAAATAAACACAAACAGACAAACAGGAATGTTCCCTGGGTGGTAAATGAAGAGTTAGAAACTCATTGTACGGTTAGGAATACCTAGATGGTTCAATAAACATTTGGAGTGCACTTGAAAGAGGAAGGCAAGAGGACAGAAGGGAAGGGGAGAGGAGGGGAGTGGAGAGGAGGGGAGAGGAAAGGAAGGGAAGGGAGGGGAGGGAAAAGAAAGCCAACAGGATCAGTTTTAGGTCTCATGTTTCCTTGCTGAAGTATAATGGACGTGCCATAAATGGCATGCATTGATGTAAGCAAATTTTAGCAAAATTTTATAGCTGTACAACCATGTCATGATCCAGAGTATCTCCCTGCTGACATTCTCTCTGAGCTGGTGTGCATCCCCGCTCAAAGCTCCAGTCTCTGATGACCTCTGATCAACTTCCTGACCATAACCTCACATTTTAAGATTAATGTAAATGTGATTATACATCCCATTAGCCGTGCTGTCTAGCTCTTGCCATGACCATGTCTGCCCTGCTCTCTGAAGGGGCATTCATGTTGCCATGTGCCTTAGCCGCCATTGCTCATTTTCCTTAATGAATAGTATTTCATGATATGGGTAAACCACATCTCGTTTGTCCGTTCACAAGTTGATAGGTATTTTTATTGTCTCCAATTGGGGCTCTTAAGCATGTTTTCATATATATGCTTTGGTGAGAGCATAGGTTATCAGATCTGTGGGGCAGATCTCAAGTGAAGTTGCTAAGTCACATGATTAGTGTATGAGAGATTTTACATCCTTAGAAATATGTCTGGAGTTTCCCAAATGAGGTAAGAAAGTGCTCCAAACTGGAATAGGAAAATGTGGGTAAATCCCTGAGCAGCAAGCTTGTCTCCAAGTCCAAAGTGCATGACCAATTCACTATGGCTGTGCTTGAAACTCATCTGTGGCTGCATGAGGTATCACCTGTGAGGAGACAGTGAAGTCCTCCAACCTTCAAACTACCACCTGAGCCTAACTTTTCACTCAATGACTCTAATGAAGTTTCTTCTTGAACAGTGGTTTGAGTGAGGAATGGTTGATGAAATCAATTGCGGCAAATTGATGTGAGAGGGAGGGGCGTGTTCTTTACTGATAGATGGTGCTGACCAAACATGAGGGACTCGAAGCCAGTGAACTCATTCGCAGGGTGGCAGAGGGCTTCCTGGTCCCGGTCAAGGGTCCTCTTTCTCTGTCACCATCTCCAACAGCAGAGGTCCTGAAACATGGACCCCTGCCTCTAACAATTCGAATAGATGGTTCATCCTGAGAAATCCTGTCTCCTGCACGGCCTGGAGCATCATTTAAGGATCCTGTCGGCTCCTGGTACTCCACTTTGCTCTGATTGTAAACACCTTCACCTATTGAAGGCTGACCTCCGGTAGTGGACTCTCTCAGTCACACTTCCTCATCTACGTGAGAAAATAAGGTGAGGGCGTACTGCGGCTCTGTCCTTAGAAATCTTCTACAGCATGAAGTCGGTATCGGCCCCAGGGTATAATTTTGGCTTCAACAGTCAATCCCTGATATTCCTGACTTACCAATGTCCAATTTGAAGAAAACAAACAAAACAAAACAAAATTTAAAAAAAAAAACCGAAAATCTCAGACTGCATGCAGAACTTCTCAGGTATTAGAGTAAACAAAATGTCCTTGTGGGGGTGCCCACCTCGCTCCAAAGGAAAAGAAGAGTGAGAAAATGATCGGCCAGGTGGACAGACGGCTTAGAATGTGCACGGTGCAATAGGTTCTAGCTGAGGAAAGGGTACTGAGACTGCCTTACAGGAGTGACGGGCTGGGAGGCTTGTGACTGCTTGATGACCCATTGTGGGAATGGATTGATGGGAGTTGGGAGCAGAGGGGAGAGAGAGGGGTCATGTGGCTAGGGGCTGAGCTTTGAGAAAGGGGCTCTCAAGGGGAAGGGGTCCTGGCAATACTGCTGAGACCTCTAGGGCCGCCTCCACCCTGTGTGCTTCCCTGGCAGAATTCCTGATGCCGGCTGGTGCGGAAGGGAAAGAGATTCTATGAGCTCAGCTTTTTGTTTATTTGGTTTTTTTTTCTATTTTTATTTTATTAAAAACACAAAAAAACTATCTTTTTTGTTTTACATAGCAATATCAGCTCCCACTCCCTCCCCTCCTTCCATTTTCTCCAACTTCTCCCCCACCACACCCTCCTCAGAGAGAGGAAGGCACATTGCTACTCTATCTAGGCTGCCTTGCTCAGACTAGCTCAGTTTTAGAGGCTGAAAGCTCTTGATCAGGAAGCCTCAATGATAAGTCGTCTTGATTGTCAACTTGGTGAGAGTCAGGGTCACCTGGAAACACATCTGTAGTTGTGACTGTGAGGCTGTCACCAGAAAGCTTTAACCAAGCAGGAAATTGCCACCCTGGATGCAGGCAGAGCTATCCTATGTCCCAAGATGAATAAAAAGGAGAAGTGGGCTGAGAGCAAGGGAGTCCTCTACCACGCTCATACTGGGTGTTCTGGTGTCTAACTCAATCCTGCAGCTGTTGAGAGTCTCCTGTCTGAATGAGCTCATTGCTATAAAGTTGGGCATAATGGAAAAGGATTTGATGTTTGTGCTGTCAATAAAGCATTATTGGAACACACTCATGCTCATTTGTCTATACCTCATCTCTAGCAGCATTCCCGTTACAATGGTAGAATTACGTAGTCACTATCAAAATGTAGTGGCTCAGAGGATGGGGAGAAAGCCATCTGGCCCTTTGCAGAGGAGTTTGTCTACTTCTGTTCTAAAAGATGAAGCCCCAAGCAAGTCTGTACACACAGCTTTTGGAAAGTGGGTGCACAGGAGAGTTCTCGGGAAATGAGTGTAGGAGTTTGTTGGTGTGGGGCCTTTGAATACTGTGACTTGGGCTGCTTGTGGGGAATCTGAACCTCTTAATTACTATGATCAAATGGAGATTGGCTTGGAGGGTCTGTGTGGCAAATGACAGCTTCATCTTGTATCTTGCTCATTCCCTGCCACCAGCCCCTGCAATTCTCTTCCATTTGCTGAAACACACCTACACACACATAACCACATGTGCACACTCTCAGACAGAGGACCTTCACTATTTCTTACCTTCTCATCTATTCCCACACATTCCTCAAAGTCCAAATCCTTATGCAGTGGGGAAACACAACTTTCACAATTCTTCAGGAAGAAGTCAAAGACAGGAGTCGGGCAGCTGCCATTCCTCACAGTAAGAGGTGAACTAAGCGTATGCTGGGGTTTGGGAGCACACAAACCAGACCTTAACCTGGCTCTGAGGCATCAAATAAGCCTCTATGGTGATAGAGATATCAGGACTAAGTACCCAAATAGACCAGGGATGAACTAATATATCAGATTAGGAGGCAGAGGGTCCTGTATGAAGAAGTGGCATGGACAGAGGCTGGGGTGGAGGTGGGGGTAGAGAGTAGAGCCCCAGGAACCAGTAAGAAGACACTGTATCAGGCTGGAGTACTGGGGACCACAGAGCTTCTGGGTGACTAGAGGGTCCCTCCCCAGAAGGGATAATGATGCGCAAGAGGGTCACGTGGAGCATCTGTAAGTGGCCTTGTTGGTGTCGTCTCATGGTGTCACTTGTACACTCTGAGAGCGGGGACCTAGTTTGTGTCACCTCTGTACCCACAGCACGATCTGCCATGCCCTGCACGGGGGAGCACTCAGCTGGTATTTATAGAATGTTGGGCAAAGTGGAAACTCTTCCGGATCAAGATTCTGGTCCTCCTGGGCTTCTGCTGATCTGCTCCGGGACCCTGGCCAGGTTGTACCATCAATGCCCAGCATCCACTGGGCCAGCAGAAGAAGAGAAAAGACATTGTCAACATCAAATATTAAGTTAGCAATAGAATCAGGCTGGAAACCATCTTCTCTGCTAAATCCAGTACCCCCCCCCTTCCACTAGGGTTCTCAGAGGGCAGATCAATGAAGAATTTTGCTGTGTGGCTGACTGCACATCCTCCATCAAGCGTGCATGTTCATCTTTAAGGAGCTGATCAATTCATTTCAAGACATCATTTTCCAAGACTAAGCAGGGGCTGATGAAAAATATTCCATTGGTGGCTTGGAGATGACATGAATCCTACATACAAGTGAGGAAAATCCTACATATAAGTGAGGAGACCGACCCTTCACCAGCTAAACTTACTTGTATGTAAGTTTACATACAAGTAAACTTGTTTATGTAAGAAAACCATAGCAAAAAGTATACATGGAAACACAAGTCTTCCTGAATCTCAAACCCATGCACTTACCCACCCCAAAGGGTTTTGAATGTGAGTAAGACCTTGCATAGGGGGCAGTAGTCAGTTGGAGGTCTTGTGTTCTGCCTCATGCAATGGCCTCTTAGACTGAAGGCTTTCGTTTGGGGTGGGCAACAGCCCAGTAGTTCTCAAGGCTCTCCACTGAGTAGCTATGAGAATAGAAACTGGAATATAACCTTCACATTTTTACTGGTGACTTGGGCTGCTTTAAGATGACTGGACTGGCTCATGCGTTCTCTGCTTTGTCTAACTGCTTAGCTTCAGGTCTATCTCAGCCTGCTTCTCCATGGCCAGGCCTGAGACCCAGCCTTGATCACCAGGAGTAGTACCGGCACTGCCGTGCTGTGGATTCCAGGCCAAATCAGTTACCAACTAGGACAGTGAAGACAACATTCCATGGTCATGTTTAAGGTTTAGTTTCGGAATCTTCACGTCCTGCACAGGACTGGCGACTGTCCAGGAGGTTCTGGGATGAGAATACTCCTCTGCTTCAGAAGAAACCTTATCTGGGATTGAGGCACAATACCTACCTCATCTTGGGTTAAGGTAGGTATGCCACCTAGCTTCCTTTCACTTCTTCTGACGCCTTAAATTTCATATACCACAGGGCCTCTGCACCTTGCCTCCTCAGAATGTTTTGGTGTGATTGGCTGCCTAGAGAAATGTGAGAACCTCAATCCTTTCCCTACCCCCTTCCTCTTCCCTTCTCTTGGAGGCAATGGTCTGTAAGGAAAACCAAGGTCTCACCATATTCTCCACCTACAATGAGAAGCAGAGGCTGGGCCCAACAAGCCATTCCTTCACAGCTGCTGTCATTTACAGCAAGCAGAACGGTGGGTTGTGACAGCAGATACAGCACCAAGAAGGCTGGCTTTCTTCAAGTGTAAAAGTTCCAGAAAGTCTACCCTTCCCATCTCCCAGTCCCATTCCCCTTCAAGAGAATCAATGGTTTCTTTCTTGCTGGAACCGAACATCGCATTTAAATCCCCATTGTATCATTAAATATGTCTCTTGCATCCATACCGATTTACCAAATGTATTACTGGATTTTGTGTGTATCTTTTCGGTAAAGATCTATCTTAATCCAATATTGCCCATCTCCACTAAGGCACCTCCTTTAAAGATTGTCTCTGTAGAACTTTTCTTAAGTGTCTTTAGTTTCACCCCCCATTGTCAGCTGGGGGATGAAACCCTAAAAATTCAGAGTAGTGGCAGCTTCATGCGGGCCTACTACGTGCACTGTAACTTACACGGTGGCAAATGATGTGATGTGGAACACCAGTTGGTTGCTAAAGCATTTCACAGTGGCTAAATAATTTTTAATCCCTCTGATTTACCAGTGCGGCAGTAATTGAGGTGACACGGAGACTCACAGTGTTATAATTCCCGATTCCTCCTCATTGCTCTGCCATCTTGAATCTTCACTCCAATGCAAAATGCTGCGTCATGACATTCAAGCCAGCTGTGAAAGGAACTAAGATAAGGAATGTTACTGTGCTTTCAGAGCGTTCTAGATGGCAGTATACACACATGTCCTCTCCCCGAGAGTCAGAACTTACCCCTAGGACTGTGCCTAGCCACAAGGGAAGTTGGGAAATGTAGTCTTTAGTCCAAGAGGCATGGTCTCAGAGAGCAGACATTTTATCACCATAAGGAGAGGAAAGGGAGTATTGGGACTCGACCTGCAACACTTGCCACCGCAATATAAGGGGGTCCTAAACAAGACCACCAGATTCCCAGGCTTTTGAACCTATGATAAAAAACAAGAACAAGCTCAAAATCAAATTGTCAGAGTGAGACAGTGTCATCTAAACCAGGGATCTCGGCCTCAGTCATAACATGAAACAGCCTTCAATACTTGGACTGTCCTGTAGTGTGGCAGGGAAGATGGTGCCCATGGGTACGGATGTGGCTTCTGTGAAGTTAAGGGAGATCCTCATAACAGAACCTCCTGAAGGGTGGTCAGTTCTGGATGACGATTATAAAAATGATCCTTACATGAGATGGTGAGAAGTCGTTAGTAAATGGTTTGGCCTGGACTGCACAGTAAGCAATGCCAGAACTCCTTTTGGGAGGGAAGGCTGGGCCTCAGGCCTGGCAATGGGGAAGCAGGCTGAGAGAGGCCTGAAGCTAAGCCATCAGGCAAGCAGAGGATGCACTGGTCCTGTCCGGTCATGGTGAAGGATTCTGCTTTGTTTCTGTTTAAACCAGGCTCCAGTCACTAGAAAGAACTAGAAGGAACCGAACTCTTATATTCTTGGTTGTGAGCTTAGACTTTAATGGTTGAGTCATCTCTGCAGCCCAAGAATTGGAAGCCTAAATTCCAGCTGCTCTCCTCATATGTAATTAAGACAGGGTTCGTACGCCATTCTTAAGAAGCAGTGCGGTGCACTGGACTGGAATCCTCCAGACCTTACACAGGTTATGTCCTCCGCTATCCCAGGGCCTCTGCTCACACCTGCTCTTTTCCCGTAGCACCTCCCTCTTCAGCTCATCAGGTATCTTCTAGATCTACAGTAGCTCTGCAAGTCTCCCTAGTGATCACTCTAGTAAGCTATTCCCGACGAACTTCTCAAGCCCCTATATTGATAGCCCTTTTCGCTGCTGTAACAAAGTCCTCCAGGCCAGCAGATATGATAAAGAACAGAAGTTTATTTCCCTTGCTGTGTTGGATGCCGAATGCCCAGAGAACGGATGGTACAGGCTCTGAAATGGACTCGCCTTATGTTTATCACTTCACAGTGGGGACACATCCGGGAAGAAAGATGACATTATGACATTATGACGTAAGAAGACTCGAGGATCCTGTGATCTCTTTGGATGGCATATCTCCAAAGATACGGTTCTCCCACCAGGCTCCACCTCGGAAGAAGCTCAAGTTTTCCAAACATGATGCTTTGGGGCACAATCTGCATCCAAAAGAGGAACCCCCTGCTCAGTGCACTAAGGCTTTGCAATTACACACTCTGTTTCAGCGTTCTATCTGTGACTGTGAGCACCACAAGGACAGGAACAATGTAGTTGGAAAAAAAATGGAAAACCAACTTCTCTCACGCCTGAGTGATCTCAACACTGAGAAGGTGGAGAGGGGCAGATTCCCCGAGTTTCCAGGCCAGTAAGCCTCACCTATTAGGTGGGTTCCAGGCCAAGTGAGAGGCCCTGCCTCAAAACCAAACAAAAGCACCTAAGATGGACAGTTCTGGAGGAATGACACCTGAGGTGGTCCAGGCCCTAGTATGCAGTCATACACGCACATGCACACCCACATGTGCACCCAAAGAACGGGCAATGTTTGCCTTTCACTGACTATTAAAAATGTCCACGGTGAGAAAAACTGAATTCAGGAGCAAATCGTGTAATGCAATTTTACTTCTGTTTAAATAAAGATTCATTTATTCTGTTGACAGCATGCATTATTTTTAGTTTTCAACAGTGGTTGGAATTTACTGAGTGGCTGCTATTTTTCAAGTGTCATGCTAAAAGCTGAGGACCAAGTAATGAACAAAACAAACACAGTTTATTAGGTTAGCACCACCAGCCCCTGGACCACTCTCTTTTGGAATGGTTGCTAGCTTTCTGTCTCTAATGAAATACCCAAGATAACCACATTATAAGGAGGGAAGGTTTACTTGGATCCACTGTTTTTATAGCTTTCAGACTGGTATTGGGCAGACCATTGCTCTGAGCCTCTTGGGGGCACTGCAAATGGCAACAGCTGCTTTCCTGAAAGTCAAGAAAAAGAAGGGAAATGAGAGGCAGGGTCCTGCAATCCTCTTTAGGGACTTGACCCCAATGACCTTCAGGCCTCCCACTAAGTCCCACCTTCTATAGGATATACCCCCCCCCCAAGAAGACCAGTCTGAGGACCCAGCCATTAGCCCATGGGACTTTGGAGACACTTTTTAAAACTGTAGCAGCTGAAGGTCACTGGAGCCAGAGCTTCAAACACCCAAGCCTCAGTTTACTGTTCTACTAAAAATGAGTTCAGTTATTAGCAATGTATTTATATTGCTAGCAGTGCAGAACACTTCAAGTATGTTCCCTCTGTGATTTGGAAAGCTCTACTAGACCCACTTCCCACCTCTGCTCCTCCCCCATCCTGACACTAGCCTTCCGGAAGTCCCTAGTATACCAGGTGTGCTCCTGTCTGGCCTTGGTGCTTCCCGAAAGCAGTCCTCCTGTCTGTCCAGTCTTCCTTCCAATATCTCCCCTCAGAAAAGGCCGAGCAGCCTTAGACTTCCTGAACCTTCTGGACACCTCTCCACCGATTTACTCATGACTACTCTCCGACATGATTACATTACTCTTCTTATTTACCATTGTCTTCCCTGATCAGCGTCACCTCTACAAGGACAGAGATCCAGTTTATCTAGCCCCTGGCAGAACTTCACCTTTTAAAACTATGCCCCTCACAGAGCCGACATTTAATAAATTGCTGTCAGAGCCAGGCGATGCGGTGTAGGCTTATAATCCCAGCACTCTGGAGACTGAGGCAGGAGGACCACAAGTCTAAGGCTGGCCTGGACTACACAGTTGAGACGCCCAAATCAAAATCTGAGGAACTGGGAGTGTAGCTCAGTAATAGAAATCTTGCCTAGTATAAGCAAGTCTCGGGGCCACCCCAGCACTGCGATAAAAATAAAGGAATAAATAGGTGTGTGAATGAAGAGGCGGACGAATATGCCCTGCCCCATCCTGCCCATCACAGAGGATGACGCACGGAGACACACATCCTTTTTTGTATCGTTGCTTTGTGGTACCTTTCTTCCCATCCCCCCCCCCACAGACTCCTGAGCCCAGTCTCACCTGAGAATTCTCTAGAGTTATGAAACTATCATTCATTTCAATATGCCAGGCCCTTCCTTCAGGCCGCTCTGCTACCACAGTGTTGAGTAATTATCGTCCAGGATCTACAATGGCTCCGAGTTTTTGATTAAACTCTTTCCTGGCTTTTAACATTCCGGGCCAGCCAATCAGGCTAGGCCCTCCCATGGCATCAGCTGGTGTGGCGATTGACTGAGATGGACCTTGTCCCTTTTTTGCAGCCATTTCCGTGAGTGTTTTGATCCAGGCGAGAAGTATGACATTATTGATTTGTTCTGCTCCACTCCCCAACAGCCTCATCTGCAAGAGCAGGGATCTTTATGGCTTCAATAATTTCCCGTAGCGCAGAGAACTCTTTTGTATTTTTTTTTTTTACTTGGCACTTTGCAGTTCTGTAAATTTTTTATGGACTCTGAGGTTAAATTTTGTCCCCTGCTTCCACATTCATCAGGATGTTGGCTTGGACTCTAAGAAAGTACATGACCTTTTTGTGCCTGGGTGCGTCCTCTCCCACCCTGGTATTTTAGAGAGGGAGGCAAAGGTGGATATAGGGAAGGAATGAGGGAGGGGGAAACAGACAACAAGAGTGAGACGGAGAAGATTCTAGAATTGCTTATGTTCTATATGTCTTACTGAAAAAGATAAAAAAAAAAAGAAGAAATAGCTCAGAAAGCTTTATGGCTTTCCTAAACTAGCACAGCCAGTAAGAGGGTAAGTGTCTCCTGCCTCTGGGACAGTCATTGGTGTTCACCACATTTTTTTTTCTCCTGCTGGGTACAAAGTAGAATTGCTTCTCCTTCTCCATAGAGTCACATGATTTTCTGTGGCCACATGGGAGTCTCCTGCAGCATTTCCAGGTGTGAGGCTTTAAGAACTCCCAAGTGAGATTTATCATGTTCTTTCTACCCTCCAAGGCTAGAGAATCCCTCCACCTGGAGCTGTAAAGGAAGACAGACTCAAGAAGGTCACGGAACACGACTGGGGAGTAAAGCTACCATTTTCGGCACCGAGCTTCAGAGACAGCCAAGCCTGGTGGTGCACACCTCTACGAAAAGCACTTGCAAGGCTGAGGTAGATGAATAGCAAGTTCAAGGCCAGCGTAGGCAAACTAGGGAGACCCAGTATAAAACACAGCAGAGCAAAACAAAACCACACCACCACCACCACGGCAAAAGACTGGAGCTCTTCGCTTCCACCATACAGCCCAGCTCATCCTAACAGATGCCGACACTAGTCCAGAGCCTCCAGGGACAATAAAGAAGTCTTGAGATCTTGGTCGGATAACCTGGAAGAGTGGGGCAAGGAGAGGAAAGGAAACTGGAACTACTTTAACATCAGATTTTCCGTCTACAGCTTTGTTTAAAACAAGAGTTAACAAAGCTATAAAGCAAGGTTAAGCCTACCTTATCAGGACAACGAGTCACGTCGAACACGCCCTTCAGCTTCCGTTCAGGCTGGAATCTGCACATTTCCCCCGTGTGCCAACGTCATTCATCTCCTTTCTCCTCCACTCGCTGTTCATTTGCTCATCCGCTCCTTCAGAAAATGTCTTCTGGGTTCTTGGCGTCTTCAAAGCTTACTGTAGACACGAAAGTGTCAAACTGTTACCTGCCCTTCCCATTGCCATCAGCCCTCAATTATACTTTCAACACAGTGGGCATTGTTCAAGTTACGAGAGCCAACCCAAGTCCTTTCTATCAGAAAGCCTTTCTGATGCTTTTTCTTCCAAAACACGTTTAGTCCCCGTTTCCTCTGGGCTTATGATGGCTAGATTTATTTGTCTATGGAGCATCTCGTATTCCCACAGGTCACACGTTTGCCTTCTTCACTAGGCAGAGGTCATTCCTCAGTCATTCCTAGGTGTGTTGGAAGCTTAAGTGGCCAACTCAGTCTGTGTCCAGTACATGTATGTTGAATGAAGGAGAGAACGATGTTTGTTTAACCTTGTTATTATTCCCTATTTTGCATCCAACATCCCAGGACCTTAGCTCTCCAAAACTCATAAACCATCTAAAATAATTCCATGTGTATCCTAGATATTTCTTTCAGAAGAGAGTATATAATTTCTTCCTAAAAAGGAATGTTATGCATTGATCTTTGCAACCTTATTTTTAATTATTACATTTTACATCACTTTATGGTATTTTATATGTTTATATTACTACACCATTTGTTGTCGTTACTTTTTTTTTATTTTGAGGTATGGTCATACTTTATAGCCCAGGCTGACCTAATGCTTTTTATATAGTCTAACCTCAGCTTCCTAAGTGCTGGGATTATAAGCATGAACTACCATACCTATCTCATTTAATACTTTTTCATGACTGTATAAATTTCTGCTGTATATAAATATACAGAAATCAGCAATCCCTATCACTGGTCATTTAGGCTGTTTTTACATGGTTGCTATCTTAGCACACAGTTTTAATACCTGGAGGCTTGCTCTGCAGACAAATGTTTTCTCTTGTCATCTCTTTCCCATAGTCATAGTGGTTGGGTCAAAGAATACGAGTTAGTTTAATCGTCTGATCCAGAGTTCTAGGACCCTGTCTGACTGCATGTTTGAGCAAGTGTTTAATGTACAGACTTCCCTGGGTGGAGTGGAGTAGAGGGGGAGCTATTGAATATCTCTGTGTTGATCTGGGCCAGGAGAAGGAGACCTCACGGATATTCTGATATGTCTGGAGGAAAGGGATCATGAAGGCTGTTTTATTGAGGAGAGTAAATGTCCATTAATGGGCCTGCCCCCCTGCAGGCCTTAGAATGTGATTGGAGCCAATGGGAATGTCCTCCTTCTGGTTACATTTCAAACATAATAAATCGTGCCTGCCTTCATTAGCTCAGAGTTTGGAGCATAACAAGTTGTGGAGTGTCCAGCAGCCTTTGCCATTCCTCCCACTGCATCCGCACCATCGATCTGTCCAGTCACCCCGCGTCAGCTGAGCCTTCCGATGGCCGGCTCCCTGCTCAGCTCCCTCCCTTCCCACACTTATGTCCAAACATAAACCCAGCTTTCTGTGCTGTGTTCCTCAACCACATTTGACATAATCCATATTTTCCACTTTAAATATTTATAACAGACTTGGAGAGAAAACATTCTCTTTTCAAGCGGCCTTCTAATTTCATTTCAGAGTGAAGGTCAGAGCAGCGAACACTCGGCGTGGACAATTCTCTCCTCCTTTTCGGCAGCATCAACGATGGAATCCTTTATCCCAGCTTCAGCCTCCAAACCCCTCCCCACGATCCTCCAGACGCTCCTTTTTATGGGGTAAAAAGGTCAGAAACCACCCCCTAATAGAGGATATTCTATGGAAGGTTACATTGCATTGCTTTTATGAATATAAAAACACAAGTCTGCAGCAACCTCAGAATACAGACGCAAAAGCATTCAGAAGAAACCAAAGCTCACACTTTACCCACCATCCCGACAATCATGTTTAGCGGTTGGTGTCTAATTTTTAGGACTTTCTTACAAAAGAGATTATATATAACACATATGCTACCTCAAGATTATGTTTTACATACTCCTTTGGAAATGTCCTTTTCTAATTGCAATGTCACCAGGCTCTTGCTCTGTACAACCCTCCACTGTCTTGTCCTTATGAACAAGACACAATACGGAGGGGAGGAGGGCACACCCTCAAGGGGTGAGAGTGGCCACTGGCCACAAAGACCATTTCCTTTACCAACAATGCAGATAGGTTTTATAGACGTCTGAAGTGTAAGTTTCTGGAACTGACAGCTTTCTCGGGGGCATTTTCCAGTCTGGATAGCTGACAGATTTTTTGGATGAACTCTTACGGGCATGGGTGACGGAACACCATGGCTTTACCAGAAGTCCTTCTATGTGGTCACCTCAGAGCTGTGATCTGGGAAGCAGGTTTACAGAGTTACCCGCTTATGACCTTCGGGCCAGGGCAGGATGTAAAGTCTCCTGTCAGGGTTAGAGACGGGACCGAGGTCTGTTTCCTCTGCCCAGTAATTACTCTGCCCGGCCCTGCTGCTCCAACTCTCATTTTATAAGTTGCTGATTAGAAGGGCAGGGTCCGTTCTCAGTGTCCTCTAACCCTGCTGACATCCATCAAGCGACCTAACAGTAACTGAATTGCGCGAATGCTCCTTGTCTTCAAGAGTGTATGTGCGTATCTTCCTCGTACCATGAATTTTAAAGGCCATGTCAAATCCTGTCATATATAAATGCAAGAGATAATTCATCGATGCAGTACCACTGGGCATCCAGTTAGTTATTATCTTTAAACGTAATTTAGAGGAGCTGGAGGGATGGCTCAGGCTTAGCAGGTAAAGACGCTTGTTTCCAGGGCTGATGATGTGAGTTCAGCTCTAGGACCTGCATGGCGCAGAGACTCCTACAGGCTGTCAGTGCACTGTGCAGGACATTGTCGAGCACATGCCCCCCTCACACGTAATTACTGATGCAATAAAAATGTTTAAAAACCTTAAAGGTTTGGGACCTCTTCTCCAGACAGATCTCCCCCATCTAATTTCTTTCCTTTAAATTTCTTAATGCAGATCAGCTAACTACTGAAAGCTTTTTAAGCCTTTGACTCATTTTACCAAAAAGGACAGAACCAGCTTGCTCACACGAGCAATGTCAAAGTCACTGTCTAACACTACTAGTTCTGAGCATGAGCCCTCTACATTTTCAGCCATCAGGTAGCAGAGGGAGAAAATATGCAGTTATTACCTTGCTGTCTCGTTTCAACAACACAGCCCTGTAACATTAGGTTGGGATGTGTACTAAACATTCCTTTTCTGTTCTGCCAGTGCGCACATCCAGATGTCTTGCCCATCGTTTTTGTGGGCGTGCTTAGGAATGATGTCTTGCCCATCATCTCCGTGGGCGTGCTTAGGGATGATGTCTTGCCCATCATCTCCGTGGGCATGCTTAGGGATGCTGACATCTTAAATGGTACAGAACTGATGCTGCAAACCCTGCTCGCTGCATCTCTCATCCTTTAATGCTGTGTTCTTCTGCTGTGGGGATTTAAAATTTTATGTAATAACATCCATCAATGTTTTTCCCCGGGTGATGTCTTACTTCCGTTTCCACTTTCCAAAGAGAAAAGAGAC